GAAGAGCTGTGAACGGTACTTGAATTCTCTTTCCTTTTAATGTTCAGTGAACAAAGTCATTCTTTTCACTACATTGACTTTTTCTGAGCCTTCTAAGCAGGAACTACAACAACCCACTATGGAAAGAAAATGGGAGGGAGGTGGGAGCCTGATCACTTTCTTCCTCCTCAAAGCAGAAAACAAAATACAGTTTGAGGCGCATCTATATAAACAAATGTGGTGATCTCACATCTAAATTTCCACAGAAGAGGGCTCTCTAGCTGTGTACCCAAAGTGAAATCAAAGCTTGATCTAATGCCATTTATCAACAACCCAACTTTTCAATACTTTGAAGAATCCAATTTCCTTAGCTGTCCCTGACAGAGGGCCACTGAGTTTATGGGCTAGTACACAAGACAGCAAGTCCTTCTAGTTTCTTAAGCATCTACTCAATCCCTCTCTAAGTAGGTGTAGTTCCACAGAGAGGAAACTCTGGGGAAGGAATTAATCAAAAGTCTCCAGGATATATACTTTTAAGTTTCCTGAAAGTAACATGCTCTCTCTTGCCTCTACTTGGAATACCTTTTCTCCCCTCTCCTTCATGCTCCCATGATACTCTGACCCTTCTTCCAACCTAGCACTCCTCACACTATATTGTTACTGTCAGTTTGTTCATCAAGAACCTTAACCTCTAAACATAAACCCCCAGGGGGCAGGGACCACACTTCTATTGTTCACCATTGTATCTGCACCTATCTGAAAGTGTTTAGCACATCCAAGCCACCTGAGAAATATTTTTTGGATAAATGGGTAGATACGTGATAGAATGATAAAAGACATCCTGAATGGAGCAATCTGACCCTATTTATTTGGCCCCCCACAAAACAACAACAACAACAACAACAACAAACACTTTAGTTCTGAGTCTATTCTGGAAACAGTCCTAAATAGAATTAGGATATAATTAAGTCCATGCTGTGAGGGTCTGGAGGAAGAGTCTAACTTGGAGGGTGAGGGAAACATCAAAGGAGATGAGTAGAATTTTATCAGGCAGAGGGTGGAAAGAGGCTAGCCCAAGAAGAAGGAACAGTGTGAGAAGTGATTTGGAGAAAGAGAGCTCTTTAAGGCTTTTAGAGTGAGGCAGTGGGTTCTTTGCCCCAGCACTTTGAGGAGGCACAAGCTTCATGAAAACGAGACTTAGTGGGTAGAATGAGAGAGGACAGAGTGGAGTCTGGAGGTAGGGTATCAGCTTGAGAGTCACTGTGGATGTCCGTGAGAGGTGGGGGTGGCCTGAACCAGAGGCACAAGTAGGATGGGAAGGAACAGATCAATCTAGATTAGTATTAGAACAACTGGACTTGGGAAATGTGATGGAGAATGCCTGCTGTCGCCCCTACAGCTGTTCCCCCTTCCCTGCCTGGGTACATGCTATTCTACATTTCCCAGCCTCTCTTGCAGTTACATGAGGCCACGTGACTAAGTCCTCGCTGATGGAATATAAGTGGGAGTGACGTGTGCTACCTTCAGGCCAGGGCTTTTAAGAGAGTAGGTTTTCATCCTCCATGCCCTTTTTCCATTTCTGCCAGCTGGTTGCAGACTTGACAAAGCCCTCAGGCTGTGGTCCTTAACCTAGTGAGCATCAGAATCACCTGGAAGTTTGTTGAACAACATTCCTGGGCCGTGCTTCTAGAGTTTCTGATTCACTGGGTCTGCAGCGGGACCAGATATGAGCATTTCTAATAAGTTTCCAAGAGATACTGATACTGCTGGTCTTTGGATCACAGTTTGGGAAACACTGCCCTGGGGTATGATGGAGCGTAATATTGAAGGAGCACGTGTTTCCAAATGGCTACATTACAGAGAGCCTCCTTTATGACTGAATACCCTAGCAGTACTGCCTTCAAGCATGAAATAGATTTCTGTTTTGTTAACTCCACCTGTGTTTGGATCTATTTGTCACACCAGCTTAGCCTACCCCAACTAATACAGGAGTTTAGGGAGAGGAAAGATTTGAAGCTGATGCCCATATTTGTTGCCTGGGTAACAGGAGGGTAGTAGAGCAGGTTTGGATGGAAAGATAATGAATTAATTATCACAGCCTGACCAATCCCTCCACTCCACAAAGCTTGGAATCTTTGTGAGGTCTTCCCTGATACTTCCAGCCACAAAGAATCTCTCCTTCCTTGGGAACCTCATAGCATTAGTTTATATCTCACTTATTGCATATACCACATTCTTCTTTCCATAACAGTTGTCTCTGTACTTTTCTTTATCCTTGTGTTCCCCCTTGGTAGCAAGACCTTGGCATATTAATCTATTTATTTCCCAGCACAGGACTTGACACATAAAATGTCCTCACAGGGGGAAAAAAATACATGTGTGTACATATATAAATGAATAAACATATATAGGATTCTGGATCCAAAGTTTTCAATGCAGTTTTTTTCTTTACACTTCAAAAGTATGGTTTCAGATATTGAATCTAATGTTGCAGATAAGAAGTCTGTTATCAGTCTGGTTTTCTCTCCTTTGGAGGTTATCTATGCATTTTCTTTGGGGAAGCTAATAATATTTCTTTCATCTTTGATTTTCTTCAGTGGGCTTAGAGGTGATTTTTTTAAAATTTTTCCATTTATTCAGCACATGTTCAATGAGAGCTTTTGGTCTAAAAAGCCTTGTCTTTATTCCATTTTATAAAACTGTCAGCTATTATAACCTTCACTTTCTCTCTATTCTTTCTCTGGACACTTATTAAATGAATATTGCCATTTCTGACTTTATCAGTCCTTTTTCTCAACATCACTTTTATACTTAGTATTTCTTTTGCCACATTATCAGAGAATTCCTCAGCTCAGTCTTTCGGTTTACTGATCTCTTTCAGTTAGATCTAATTTTCTAATATTCAACCTATCTATTGAAATTATTATTTCAACAATTATATATTTCCTTTTGAAGATATTGACTCTCATGGGTATGATTTCTTTTTCTTCTTTCTTTCCTTTCTTTCTTCTTCTTTTTTTTTTTTTTAAAAACAAGCTATCACCCAGGCTGGAGTACAGTGGCCTGATCATAGCTCACTGCAGCCTTGAACTCTTAGGATCAAATGATCCTCCCATCTCAGCCTCCTAAGTAGCTGGGACCACAGGTGCACACCACCATGCCCAGCTAACTTTTTAAAAAAGTTTATGTAGAGATGGGGTCTCAATATATTGGCCAGGCTAGTCTCGAACTCTTGGCTTTAAATCCTTCCACCTTGGCCTCCCGAAGTGTTGGGATTACAGGGTGAGCCACCGTGCCTGACTGATTTATTTTTAGTTCTCATCTTAACAATACTTTTCAGGTTGTCCCATTAACTTTATTCCTTTGGATATAGACTCTCTCTGTTTTTAAGTTTGTTGTTCCTCCTTCATGGAACTGGGCTTCCACAGATGCTTGGGTGACTTTTAATTGTGGTAACATATATCCATATTAACCCCTTTTTTTTCCTGAGATGGAGTCTTGCTCTGTTTACCAGGCTGGAGTGCAGTGGAGTGATCTCAGCTCACTGCAGCGATCTCAGCTCACTGCAGCTTCCACCTCCTGGGTTCAAGCGAGTCTCCTGCCTCAGCCTCCTGAGTAGCTGGGATTACAGGCGCCAACCACCACACCTGGCTAATTTTTGTATTTTTAGTAGAGACAGGGTTTCACCATGTTGGTCAGGCTGGTCTCAAACTCCTGACCTCATGATCCACCTGCCTCGACCTCCCAAAGTGCTGGGATTACAGGTATGAGCCAACATGCCCAATATTAACCATTTTCAAGTGTACAGTTCAATGGCATTAAATATATTCACCATGTTGTGCAACCATCACCACCATCCATCTCCAGAGCTTTTTCATCATCACATACTGAACCTCTGTACCTATTAAACACTAACTCCTCATTTCCCCTCCCTCCAGCCCCTGACATCCACCACTCCATTCACTGTGTCTGTGACTTTGACTCTTCTAGGTACCTCATATAAATGGAATCATGTATTTGTCCTTCTGTGTCTGGCTTATTTCATTAAGCATACTGCCTTCAAGGTTCATCTGAGTTGTAGCATGAGTCAGAATTTCATTGCTTTCCAAGGTTCAGTAATATTCCATTTATATATATACACCACATTTTCTTTATCCATCATCCATCAATAGATGCTTCGGTAGTTTCTGCCTTTTGGCTATTGTGAGAAATGCTATTAGGAACACTGATGTACAAACATCTGTTTGGATCTCTGCCTTCTTTTGGGTGTGTATCCAAGCTTGGGTAATTCTTAGTTGTAAATTAATCTTAGGAGACTCCTGTGCACATCTTGGACTGTGTGGGCGGTAGCATCAGCCTCATGCCATGTGCCCAGCAACTCTAGCTTAGCTCAAGACTCACTCACATTCCCAGCCCCTGCCTGCTTGTGGTTGCCATAGTTTAGTGTAAGGTTTCCTGTCTGCCTCCCTTTCCAGAGAAAAAGAAAGCAGCTCAGTTTTTGATTCAGAGAGTTCCCTTTCTTGTTTTCAAGAATGTTTGTGTATTTATGTTATATAGCATTATAATCATTTCTGGCTTAGTTTTTGGATTGTATCATGTGCTTAATTTGCCAACTTGAAAACAGCAGCATACAGAATGTGTACCAATGAATAAATGAGTACCTGTACGTCATTCACAAATCCAGGAGATACCTAGGTTTTGGCATTATCTTCTGGAGATTGTGGGGGAAGAATGTTTTTTCCAGAAAGCTCTTTTTTTCTTTTTTTTAGACAGGGTCTCACTCTATCACTGAAGCCAGAATGCAGTGGTGCGATCATGGCTCTTAGCAGCTTCAACCTGCTGGGCTCAAGCGATCCTCCTACCTCAGCCTCCCAAGTAGCTGGGACTATAGGTGTGAGCCAAGATGCCTGGCTAATTTTTAGTTTTTTGTGGAAATGAAGTCTCACTATGTTGCCCAGGCTGGCAGAAAGCCCTTTCTTCAAACATTCACTCCCCAAAGTTTTTGAGGGACTTCCCATTACCTGTAGTGCTGAGGCCAGTGTACTCAGGGGATGGATTGCTACCAGGGGAAGAGGGAGGTGGCACTTCCACAGATGGGGCAGATTTTGCTGGAGAAAACGATGGCACTGGTGAAGGGGTTGGCGCCGTAGCCTCTGCAGCCTCTGTCAAGATGATCTCTTCTCGGACTTCTGCTGTGGATAGACACAGGGGGAGTTTTTAGAACCAAATGTAAAGGCAGGTGTCTCTAAGATACTTTAAAAAGTGAAATATTCTTCTAATCTGTGTGATGTCACTCTTGCCTAAAACTTTCCGTGGTTTCCCATCACCATCATGGCACTCAAGGCAATTTGCATATATACACATGCCCACTTTATTTAATTTGTTTGTTTATTTATGTACTTATTTTGAGATGGAGTCTTGCTCTGTCACCCACTCTGGAGTGCGGTGGCACAATCTGGGCTCACTGCAACCTCCGCCTCCTGGGTTCAAGTGATTCTTGTGCCTCAGCCTCCTGAGCAGGTGGGACTACAGGTGTGTACCACCACACCCAGCTAATTTTTTGTATTTTTAGTGGAGATGGGGTTTTGCCATATTGACCAGGCTAGTCTCGAACTCTGGCCTTAAGAGAGCTGCCCGCCTTGGCCTCCCAAAGTGCTGGGATTGCAGGTATGAGCCACCATGCCCAGCCCACATGCCCACTTTAAAGAGGAAAAAGACACGATTGGTTTGATACCACTTGACCTGTTTACCATAACTAAATTCTTTGAGATACAGAGTTAAAGAAACATAAAGCACAGAAGTAAGGATACAAATAACATTACTAAGTGGTGCAATTCCCAGGAAAATGCTGGCTTACCAGTGCTTCCCTCTCCCTTCATGGCTCGCATGAGCTCATTGGCCCGCTCCTGACAGTGCAGAGATTCTAACAGGTAGAGCACGTAGTCATCAAACATTAAGTGAATTAGGTGAAAAGACCCTGGTGAAAAAAAGGATCAAACAGAAAGTAAGTAGTGCTGTCTCATGTAGGCCCCCTCTGTCTGGTCAGCTGCACAAGTTACACAGTGTTCTAAATGGTCTGCTCAAGAGTCTAATTTTCCACTCACTTATGATCTCGTCATGGTCAGAGGTTGCATTTCTCAGCTGTATCCTCAGCTTAGCCTAGTGCTTGGCAAGGTAAGTGTCATTAACACTTTGTGGCAAGTGAATCTTTTCCTTGCTAAAGTTATATTAGTATGACACCATCAAAAATGGCACCCACCGAGCCACCTCTGAGCTCTCACATACCTACTGGCCTCATCCTCATTGAGCACCCCTCACTCTGTTCAGCATTTATTAACACAGCGTCTCTCACTTTTATCTCTTCCATCAGCGTATTATTCCCCCAACTGGACTTTAAGTATGCCCGTGGTGGGGACTTTGCCTTCTATTGCTGTCTACCAATGTACCTGACATAATTCTAGGAGCAAATTTGAAAATTTAAATCTGCAACAAGCTATTTACTTATTTCCCTAAATGTTTTCAAGACCTCATTTAGCACATGGTTCTTAGAAAAGGTAATTCATTGAAGATAGTTGGTCTTTTCAGGTGGCAGTCTTCATTTTTCAATTTAGAGTAGATTATTTTGTAAAAGGGAATGTGAACAGTCATTTCTAAAGACTTTCCTATATGCCAGTCTCTGTGCTCAAAGTCTTATCTTCTCTAATTTAATAACTACAACCATGTTGTAAGGTGGGTATTTTTATTCCTATTTTGTAGGCCAAGCACTTATGCAAGATGACACGATTAATAGATAATACATTATTTCAAAACCAGCTTTTTTTTTTGCATGTCATGCTGCTATCGTGCACAGTGGAATGGTGCACCTACGGTAGGAGCTCAATTAATGTCTACTGTAATCAAGGCCTCATGGATCCAGGGTCAGAGAGAGGGGCCAAGCCTTTATCTCCCATCCCATGTTTCCAGGTCCCAATAGGACATCTCCATGTGGATATCCTGCAGTCCCTTTAAATGTCCAAAACTTTTCACCTCTCTCCAAGCTGACCAGTATACTGCTTGTTTTTTCCCATTTCCTTCTAGCTTGCTTTTTTAGAGACTTTTTTTTTTTTTTTTTTTTTTGAGATGGAGTTTCACTCCCTTGCCTGGGCTGGAGTGCATTGGCACTATCTTGACTCACTGCAGCCTCTGCCTCCCGGGTTCAAGCAATTTTCCTGCCTCAGCCTCCCTAGTGGCTGTGATGATAGGCACGGACCACCACACCTAGCTAAGTTTTGTATTTTTAGTAGAGGTGGGTTTCGCCATGTTGGCCAGGCTGGTCTAAAACTCCTGACCTCAGGTGATCCACCTACCTCGGCCTCCCAAAGTGCTGGGATTACAAGCATGAGCCACCGCGCCCGGCCTTTTAGAGACTTTATGAGACACTCTGGCATTATTTTTTTTGTCATTCTATCTTCGTCATGATCATTACCACCACCATTATTATCATCATCATATCTACTGTTTATTGAGCGTTTACTCTGTCCCAAAAACTCTGCTAAGCACTGAACGTATGTTTCTTTCTTACAACAAACTGTAACGTAGGTGGTATTATCCTCCCTTACCAATGAGGAAATGAGTCTCTTCATTAGTGATCAAGTAGGGATTTGCCTCAGTTTGGTCTGGCTCCATAATCTGTTCCCATTCCCCTATAAGTCATTTAGTTCAGTATCTTCATAGCACAGATGGGAAAATAAGGCCGAGATGGCATAAGTGACTTGGCCCCTAGAGGGGCCACTTGAGTTGGGAACTAGGTCTCTCCAAGTCTCAGAAATAAGGTGGTGGAGGCTAGTTGGGGGCTTTTGGAGCACTCCTTGGTGAAATTTATTTATTTTCTCCTTAACTGCACCTGGCTTCTGTATACATCCATACCCTTCATCTCGGATCAGTTAATTCTTTTGGTCTAGAAAGGCTAGAGAGGAAAATCCCTGGCTTAACTGTAAGGCCACTAGATGCCCAGCAGGTCATGAACATGACCCTCTGTCTCTAGAACCTGCCACAAACTCCTGTCCTTGTTCCCACAGAGCTCAAGGCCAAGGTCCACTGTCCTGCACCTCCTTCACATCCTTCTTCCATCTCCAGTACTATGTCGGTTTTTCAACCCCATTTGGAATTCAGCAAAGTCCAGGTTCTGCTCAGTCATTGTGAGATGTGGTCTCTAACACTAAACTTTCCATCAGTTTCCCTGAAATGGGATCCTGTGAGCCACTGAGGAGGAACAGCACCGTGTGGGTAATTATACGGGCTGTGGATTAAACTGCCCAGGTTGAGATCCTAGCTCTGACACTTAGTATCTGAGACTTTAGATGAGTTACTTTACCCTCCCTAATGCTTATAAATACTGAAAACAAAATCCGACATTTATTGACTGCTGACTCTGTGGCAGCCACTGTGTAAACCACCGGAGATTTACTTTGGCATTGAATCCTCATCACAACCATGTGAGGTAAGTTACACTTTCCTTTTACAAAGGAGGAAAGTGAGGCTTAGGGAGTTAAAGTAGCTGTCTCATGTCACACAGTCATTAAGTGGCCGAACCAAGACTTGAACCCCGGACTGTCTTGACTCTGAAGTTGCTCTTCAATCATTATGCACTACAGCTCTCTAAAAGGACAGTAAAATGTACATTATAGAAGTACTAAAATGAGGGAAAGTATCTATTAGATGCTTAATAATAGGTAACTATTGTTATTATCGCTAAGGTCCCTTTTGCTACTATGTTCTAAGATCCCATGACACGACTGTTGTGTTCATAGAGTCAAAGAAGTCAAAAGATAGCATCAAATAAGGAAAGGGTCTCCAAAATGAAGAAATTATTTGCTGGGATGTTGATCTGAAGTCAACATGGATAGAAAGAGAGAAATGTACTATGAAATAATGAATTAACATGGAAAGCTTAGATGATAAAAATCCAAGCTAGTCATTTTAGGATGAACAAACATTTTCATTTTATTCCATCCTCCTGTTTTATAAGACAAGGAGACAAAGATCTGATGAGGTGAAGAAACTTGCCTAAGATTACTCTTAGAAAACATCAGAGCTGAACTTGGAAGCCGGTACTTTAGGGAAAGTGCGGATTTGACATGGGGCTTCAAGCTGTCTTCATTAATGCCTCTGATCAGTTACCGGTTAGTCTGTTAATTTTCCATTGTAAATTTTAATCCTTGAAACAACAAGAGTTTGTAGAGCTACTGCTACTTGCTAACCATTGTGCTAAGCGCTCTGACTACAAAGGAGCCATAAAGCTCAGTCTCAGACTCCACAGAAGCTAAGTCTTCTTCGTAAGCAGAAATTAATCATTAAGATTATTGGGCAGTAAACAGTTCAGTGCCAGGGTGTCACAGCAATGAGGATAGTGCAAATCGATGAAGACAGGAAAAATGAAAAGTAAATACAGAAAGACTGATGAGAGAGACAGACATCAAAAACAAGAGGGGAGAGGCAGTTATAGCGAACATCCCGCTTTATCTATCTCCTTAGCATTTCTCACCATCTAAGTTAAATACTATATCCTGTATTTAACTTAATTATTATTGCATGCCTCCTCCACTAGATTGTAAGCTCCATCTTGCAGGGATTTTTCTGTCTTGACCAATGCTTTATACCCAGTGACCACGACAGTGCCAGGCACACAACAGAGACTCAATGGATATGTGTTAGATGAATGAATCAAATAGATAAGCATTGACTACTTCCATATGCACCGCGCTAAGTAAGCTCTTTTAACTTGTCAACAACACTGCAAAGAAGGTATTATCTTCAGTTAATACATGAGGAAATGAAGGCTCAGAGGGCTTGAATAACTTGCTTAAAGTCACAGAGCTAGGGAGCAGCAGAGCCTGTTACAGAAAAAGGCATTAGGATAGAGACAAAAGGAGATTTTATTTTGTTATTGTTATATGGTAATATAGTTAATTGCATTTGGTAGAATCAAAGCATTTCATTTCTTATGAAAAATATCCATCATAGACAAATACAGAGAATTCTAAAATGAACACCAGTGTAAAATGAACACCACCAATTTTTGTTAGAATTATTTCCAGGTACCTTGTAGTTTCTATTGCTATTATGAATTGTGTGTGTGTGTGTTTTAAGTTATATTTAAGTTATATAGTGAAATTAAGAATGCCAATGATTTTATAAAAACTGAATTCAGGGCCAGGCGTGGTGGCTCACGCCTGTAATCCCAGCACTTTGGGAGGCCACAGCGGGCAGATCATGAGGTCAGGAGTTTGAGACCAGCCTGGCCAACATGGTGAAAAGATACAAAAAATTAGCCAGCTGTGGTGGCGCATGCCTGTAATCCCAGCTACTTGGGAAGCTGAGGCAGGAGAATCGCTTGAACCCAGGAGGCAGAGGTTGCAGTGAGCTGAGGTCATGCCATTGCACTCCAGCCTGGGCAACAGGGCAAGACTCTGTCTCCAAAAAAAAAAAAAAAAAACTACTTTCAGTAACTTGACTGAATTCTTTTTTTTTTTTTTTTTTTTTTTTTTTTGAGACGGAGTCTTGCTCTGTCACCCAGGCTGGAGTGCAGTGGCCGGATCTCAGCTCACTGCAAGCTCCGCCTCCCGGGTTTACGCCATTCTCCTGCCTCAGCCTCCCGAGTAGCTGGGACTACAGGCGCCCGCCACCTCGCCCGGCTATTTTTTTGTATTTTTTTTAGTAGAGACGGGGTTTCACCGTGTTAGCCGGGATCGTCTCTCGATCTCCTGACCTCGTGATCCGCCCATCTCGGCCTCCCAAAGTGCTGGGATTACAGGCTTGAGCCACCGCGCCCGGCCAACTTGACTGAATTCTTATTGGTTCTATTAGTTTGTGGATTCTTTTTTGCCAGCAATCATGACATCTATAAATAAAGACAATTTTGTGTTTTCCTTTCTAATTCTTGTGTTTCATTTTCTTTTTTTAAGGCATTGGCTAGGACCTCCAGTACATATTTATCAG